AGTCAAACTGAATTTTTAATAAACCAAAATACAGTTTCAAAGCAAATTAATTCAGATACAAAACTTTAAATTCAGTTTGAATTTAGTGAAATTTATTTTCAAACCAATGCATTCAATTTCAAATCATGAACATTCAGATTCAATCTGAGCAATTCAAATTCACTTCCTGTTGGCACAAGATTTATCCCACAGTTCAATGCTGCCGTCTCCTAATTCTGAGTGCTGACTCAGCAGAAGTCTCTGCTCAGGTTGGGTTTACCTGTTTACCTGTTGGAGCTGACGACTGGCTCCTGGTGACATCACAGCTGCTCCAAAAAGGACCCGACCTCTCCGGTTCTGTTTCTTTAACTCGGATTTAAAGAGACCCAGAAGCTTCAGGGCCTTAATATGAATATCTTATAAATATTTTGCTAACAGAAACTGGATGACCTGTAAAAGAGAAAATGTTTACTTATAAAAAGTATTTTTTTTTTGTTTCAGGCTCTGAAGCCGTCGAACCACGCCACCATCCAGAGCATCGTTCGGGCCGTGGGTGTGGTCCCGGGCATCCCCGAGCCGTGCTGCGTTCCCGAGAAGATGTCCTCCCTCAGCATCCTGTTCTTCGACGAGGACAAGAACGTGGTGCTGAAGGTCTACCCCAACATGACGGTGGACTCCTGCGCCTGCCGGTAGTTCCCCTCTCCTCTCGGCTCCGCCCCCTCCTCGCGTCACAAACACAAACGCAGGCCTCACACAAACTGAACGCAGCTCCTCTGGAGGACGGCGCCTCCTGCTGGTCCAGGTGAGGAGGAAACGGATCGTCTGAGTGAACTGTCAATCAAAGCCTCAGCACCGCTCTTCAGCTTCTCTAAACTGAACTGAGGCAAAAACTCGACCCAGCTTGAACTGATGGGGGCGGGGCTTGATGGGGGAGGGGCGGGGCTTATCACTTCTCTCCACCTGTGCTCACACCTGCATGGTTCTTGTCGCAGTATCTCTGTGTTATCACTGTTACTCACTATATGAACTGATGTTTGATCCTTCGGCTGCTTCAGAGAGCAGAGCTGAACTTCGGCTCCTCTTTTTTCTGGTTTTTACTCTGTTTCTGCAGGAGAGGAAGCAAAATATTTGTTCACTTTTTATGAACATTAAAGGTTTTCAGAGGACGTTTTCTCTTTTCTTCACACGGAGCAAAGTTTAAGAAGAACACGACGGGTCAGGACGGACGTCTCCTTACTTTTTGAGGATTTATTGGACCTGATATAAATTTATACAAAGACATTAAAAAAATCATAATGGCAGGAGACTGATGTCAGGCTGAACATATTTTGTTTTCTTATCTTCTTACTGCGAATCATTTAAATCCTGTCTGTAATGAATGTTTTCATCATGTCTGTTTCTCCTCAGTGAAAGTCTGAGTTTGTTTTATTTAATCATATTTGGATCAAAAGGTTTGAAACATCTTTTTAAAATGAAAAATCAGCATTTTGTTCAGAAAAAAAAAAGGTCCAGATGATGTTTGAGTCAGATTAAAGGTGTAGAGGCAGCACCTGCTGGTGAATGCTGGTACTGCGCTTTAACGACCTGATGTC